GCTGCATGCAACAGGTTGCGTGCAACCTGGGTTGTATGCAACTGACATGCAACGAGCTGTATGCAACCTGTTGCATGCAATCCAGGTTGCATGCAACCTGGTGACGTCATTGGCATCCACATTGTCATCATTACTGATGACGTTATCAGTGACATCACTGATGACGTCATCGACATCCACATCGTCATCACCACGGATGACGTCATCAGTGACGTCACTGATGACGTCATCGTCATCATCACTGGTGATGTCATCCGTGACGTCACTGATGACGTCGTCGAATCGTCATCGTCAAGGTCACGTGAACCCCCAAGATCACGTGACCCCCCGAGGACACATGACCCCCCCCCCTTCAGTACCCTTCCCTCCTCGTCTTCCTGAAGAGCTGCGCTCTAGTTCGGAGTTACAGGGAGTTGTAAACGGCTTTCATTTTTTTTGTTTTTTTGTTTTGTTCTCCAGGTGGGGACAAGAAATATGTTCTTTTGTGCCGCTGGTATGTGGTGCGTGTTAATGGACAAGTTCCTACGCACACTGGGCTCACCATACAGTGAATAATACTATGAGTGAGCCACTGCTTAAAGGAAGGCCGATGTTCTGCTGTCTAAACATCTTTACAACAATGTTGACATTACAGGAAAGTCCGTCCATGCTTTTCAGTTCATATTTTGTTTACAAAAAACTGTGCCTTCTGCATTTGTTTGTTGGAGTCTCTATAACCAGTGAAACAAGTTAGTAATATGCTCTTCGCAACAGGCATGACAGATATATGCTAAAACTAGCCATTCCTCATGTTTGTAGGACAGCAATATGTAGTGTGTGCTTTTTCATCAAAGGTGTCAAGTGGCTTGTGCCATGGGAATTTTATACTTGCAGTTTTCTTTCGCCTGAAACTGGCCTCTGGGTTTGCCATTTTTCTTACATCGCAATAAAGTGGAGATTTGGGCCAGCTGGTTCTTGGCAAACAAAAAAAGCGCTGAAGAAAACAGGGACGCAGACGAAGGGAAACAGGACAAGGCGCACTCTCAACTGAAGTTGAACTGAACTAGTCCATGCACAATTTCACTTTAAAGAAAGCATTGCAACCTGTGTTTTCAAATTTGTGACAAAACACAAACGAAATGGCAGTGTGCTGAATTAAGTGAAGAGTGAAATAATGTCTGTGATATATCCTTGATAATCACAAAGAATTTATACGGTGTTTACTAGTCCATGCTCAATTTCACTTTAAAGAAAGCACTGCAACCTGTGTTTTCAAACATGTTTATTTTTCACGTTATGGTATTGTTATAAAAAAAAGAAAACACTTTCAAAAACAAACTACTTGTTGTCTTCTTTATACATTCAAGTTGGCACGAATCGAATCTGCGATTATCGAGTAATACACCTGGCTCTGTGGTAGCCATAATGGATTGTAAATAGGAGCAGGGCAATAGAAGTGTAGAGAAAATGAATCGATGTCCAAACCTGATACAAACAATATATTGTAGTAAAAAAAAGAAAATGGGTCTCACCAGTAGACTCATTGAGTTCTCAGTCTCCTGCAAGGGCTAGCTTCATAACCTGACAAAATGTTCTGTTATTGTCCCACATATTTTGTGCACCCTGCTTACAAATTAAAAAAAAGCCCTATCAACATAACCGTCATGCACCGAATAGCTTTTCGGAGGCACTACCACATGTCCGTAAAGGTAGCACGGTGGTTGTGCGACGAACTGCGCACGGCGTTGGAGTTGACACTGTGGAGCTTACGGACGGCCATGACTGTGGAACAACAAGTGCAGTACATACTGCCACAGGGAGGGCTTCTCTGGAGGCGAGAGCGTCAGTCGAGGTGAGGACGACGAAGGGTTCGCTGTCATCGGTGGCGTCCCTGGTGTGCGGGAGTGCCACCGTGGTGAGGACGATGAGGGGCTCCATGTCGCCGATGCTGTCCGTGATGGGCGGGACCTCCGTTGTGGCGACGGACTCCTTGGCGCTGGTGGTGTCCCTGCTGGGCGAGACGGCCACCGTGGCTTGCGTGGGGCTCCGGGGCGGCACAGCTGTGGCAGGTTTGGAACTGGGTAACAAGGCGCTGCCTCAGAGCCTTCCCCCTGTCCGAGAGGCTGACGTGAGGGTGGGCAGGAGTCGGCCGATCGTCATCCGCTGCCGACCCCTCCGAGCTCGACTCAGAACCGTCCGAGCTCGGCCCAAACTCCAACCCTGGCTCGTCAGGGTCAGAGTCTGGCTCCGGTTCTGGCTCCTTCGATGAAAGGCAGATATTCTGGAACACTGCACACGCCGATATAATGACGGTGGCTGTTGTGAGATGATAAAACAGAGCCCGGTGCCTTTGCAGACACCGGAATCTGCTTTTCAACAGCCCAATGCAGCGCTCCACAACGGACCTCATTGAAGAATGTGCCTTGTTGAACCGGCCGCATGCGGTGAAGGTCGCGTGGAATTTAGGGACAGGGGTGATGAGCCAAGGCTCCTAGGCATAGCTGCTGTCACCTGCACATTCAGAGAAGGAAATGTATGATATTAATGCTGTTCTCTTTAAAAGAATACTTCAACAAAATTTAAAATGTACCGTCGTGTTCAGAAACAGGCTGAACATGATCCACAATACCCGTAAATGACAATCGCACATTTCTCTTTTGAGCTTTATGGCTATATTTTTCGTTATATATAGGCCACACTGGCAAGCGCTCGGAGAGCAGCCAGCAGAGAGCACGTCACATCCGGTGCAATTGTGATGTATTTTCGCTTGGGATGAGCAAAGCTGCAGCGAGGCAGACGTCGTCAGGATGCCCTAGCTGTTCAAGCAACAAAAGCGGTCGAAGCATGCCAGCGATCAGGCCACTGCAACGAACCCCAAAGCTGCTTTTGTGTCATTTTGAGTGACGGGTTAATATTCTATAATTTTGGGACGCACAAAAGAGAGTCCCGTTGAGTGTGGAGTTCCTCCCTCCCCTTTTCTGTTCTGCTGGCCATTGAGCTGTCAAGATGGCGTCAAGTTCAAAGCATGTATAGTTCTAGGCGAGACAGTTATCGTCACTACCTGTCAAGCCTCCTAGACATCTAGAAGGTGCTCTTTCATAATCGCCTAATTTTTTAATGCCTTTTTGTTTCTTTCTTAACAAGATATTGGCGTGTCCGATGTGATACTGCTCTTCTGAACACGTATAAACCAAAGAGTAAGCACCGAAATTTTGTTGTAGTATCCATTTAAAATTGTTGACAACTAAGCAAAGAAAGGCAGATGTTTGCAACCTTTCCCCCCGTACTTGACAGCTGCGTCAGAGTGTTTCCAAGGAGACGTGTCATAGGTATGGCCAGAGCGCATGCCAGTTATCCATGTTTGGAACAGTATGTGTGATATTGTAGCTTATAAGTGGTGCAGAGCCACCATGTACAGTACCAACAAATGGAGTATGCTTACTGAGCAGAAACCTCTCATCGTCTATCAGCCGGCCTTGCTCGAAGTTGCTCCGGAGCCACGAGTAGCGCCATGTGAAGAAGTCGTGCACCGACCCAGGATACCGTGGGCCAATGCTCATGACCCGGCAGTCGGACTCACACACCTGCAATAGTGAGACATATGTAGACATTAATTCAACTGAATCTACAAACAGTTGATTGCACTCATGGTCAATGGGCCCTGTCAAACACTATTTACATGCTGACCAACATACCACCATAAATTACGTGGTTTACAAACTTAAAATATCAAAAGAGCGCAAAAAACGACGGACTGGATGAAGGAGGATACAGACAAAACGCTGAGCGCAAAAAAACAACAAAACAAAACAACACAAAAACGACCGACTGGATGAAGAAAGACAGACAGGGCGCTGTCTGTGTTACAAAGATTAAAATTATATGATAAATAGCAGGGATGGGCAGTATTTCAAATGCAGGTATTTGAAATATGTATTTCAAATACTTTGTGTATTTTGCATTTGTATTTAATTACAAATTGGGTAATGTATTTGACGTGTGTATTTAAATACTAAAACGTGGGTATTTCAAATACAATTGTAATTAAATACAATTTTGTGGGCGAAAATACATCCCTCAAATTTATTGTCACTGTCCAGAGCAGGAAGAAAGCTATGTTCTGCACCGAATGCAGTGTCTCTCAATCAAGCACAAGCATTCGGTGACTTTGTGATTACGGTGCTAGTCCAGGGAAAGAATAGTGACGAAATCGACGTTCACAGGCAGACTGGCTAAATAAGTGCCTGTGACAACTTGTGATGCTTTCCAACCTGATTTAATTCCATCCATATTTTTGCCTGGAACATTCTAAATGTGCGGGTCGTCCAGATTTTCATAACTTGTGCGAGTTGCAACAATAAAAAATTCTATAGCTAGTGCTGCGCGTCTTGGTCGTCTCGGTTCTTTGTTGGTCTATACCAAAATGTAATCGACAAAAAAAAAAAACTGCTTGAAGCTCTGTACTTTAACCCAGTAATGCCCTATGTTGCAGATCTGCAACAGCAGGTTCAGAGCTCTTCAAATATATGATGACCCGCGTTCTAAGATATAAGTTGTCCAAGCTCTCAATATATAGAGTTTCTCGATATATGGGCTTGACATTTTCACCGCGTGGGGGCCACCTGCGTCTCTTGGGACTCGTTTGAAAATGGCAGCGGCCACGCCGTCCGGGTCTTCTAACAAAAAGGTACGATAAAATATTTCTAACAACTACACGCGTGAAGTTTCACGCTTGAAACATTGCAGATATGTCGCAGGGATATTTCAGATTAACACAACATGCACACTTCCTTAATATAATGGCTAGGTTTTGCTTAATATTTTTGTCACGGAGTGTGTTGCATATATGCAACACTGGGCAGAAAGTTCGGCCCGATCTCGTTGTTGCACATCTGCAACGCTGTTCTTCCTTCTTCAGGATCATTGTCAAGTGCAAATAAATTACTTTTCAGTTATCACTTTATCAGATGGTGACCTGTTCTAGTATTTTGAAATAGCTGTACCTGCCTGCAATGTTTTTTTGTTTTTTTCTCCATGCATATTGTTAGAATTTGGTGATGTGTTTATTTTGGCGCAGGCAACAGCGGTCTTTGCGCCGTCATCACTTTATGCAGCTCCTACAACTAGGCCGAAGCGTCTTTTTCAAAAGAACATGATTGAGTGCGTCGACACAAATGAAAGCGACTTCTCTTGTGACGAGAGTAGTGGAGACGAAGCCAGCATTGATGTTGAAGACAGCACCAGTGAAGAAGACGAGGACGTCAATGAGCTTGATGGGGACCAAATCACAGAAAGGACTGACGTTAGGCAAAGTGATCTGAAATCCAGGTACGCTAACAAGCGTTACACCTGGCGGAAGGCTGCGTTTGACCACCAGCCGACCGTTTACCAGGACGAGTTTCCACTGCCCCCAGCTGAGCCTCCAACAGCCAAGCAGTATTTTGATATGTTCGTTTTTCGGAGCATGATGAAGGAAGTCGTGGAAGAGACCAACAAGTACTACTTGCAGAAAAATGGGACTTCCCTAAATCTGACAGTTGAAGAGTTAGCATCCATCTTGGGAATGTTTTTCAGAATGGGCCTCGTCGATATGCACCGAGTTTGTGCATACTGGGAAACAAGCAGTCGATATGAACTTGTTGCTCAAGTTATGTCACGCAACAGGTTTGAGAAGATTACAAGTCATCTGCACTTCACCGACAATGATGCAGCAACTGACCAGATGAAAGAGGACAAGTGCTGGAAAGTGCGCCCATGGCTGTCCTCCCTAAGAGACAATATGGTACGTGTCCCACAAGAGAAGAAGTCATCGGTGGACGAGATCCTGATCCCCTTCCGCGGGCGATCTCACATCCGACAGTATCTGCCTAACAAGCCGAAAAGCAAGTGGGGTCTGAAGCTTTGGGCGCATGCGGGTGAATCAGGCCTTTGCTACGACTTCGATGTCTACCAAGGATGCTCCAGAGGCATGTATGGCTACCAGGAAAGCTACCAGCTGGGATTGGGAGCTGGTATTGTGCTGCAGCTCTGTACAAGCCTTCCGGATAGAAAGGATAACCTAATTGTGGCAGACAACTATTTCACTGGTCCTCACCTTGTGCCAGAGCTCACCAGCAGAGGAATAGCGTACATTGGTACAGTCCGTGAGAACAGGCTAAGTCCTGTAAGCTAATGGACGAAAAGTCAATGAAAAAGAAAGGCCGGGGTGCATGTGACTTTTCTGTGGCATCATGTGAAAACAAATCCATGGTTGCAGTCAAGTGGTATGACAACAGACCACTTACGCTGCTCTCCAACTGCAGCGGTGTGGAGCCAACCGTGACTGTGAAAAGTTGGGATAAAAAGACAAAATTGATTGATTTTGGGGGTTTAATGGCGCAAGAGCTACGAGGCCATCTGCGCCAAACAATAGTGACAATCAGCATGCTTTGGTGAGAGTTTTAACAAAGTGCAACCTAGGATTTGGTAAAGCTATATTTGGTATAAAATGCCAATGCTAGTAAGAAAGTCTATTACCCTGCTAAAAGGGACATGGGATTCTCCCCCAGCAGGAGGGCCGGATGAAACGGGATCTGTTGTTGAAACAACTCGGGAAAATAAATATGATGCTTGGGCTCCAGAGCGGGACAGGACCACAAGATATGCAAGATTGTAAGAGAATCACCACACTGATCACAAATAGGAGGATCTTCCCCCCAAAGTAGGTACTTATGAGTGATGAAAGAATGCCCAATTCTCAGACGGCACAGCAAGGTTTCATAAAGACGACTCTTGCATGAAGAGCTTTCCCAAGCTTCAAGAACAGGCTTTGTAACGTGGAGCTTGTTTTCGCACTCCCTGTCCCATTCCAACTGCCAACAACGAAAAAGTGATGACTTTACTAAAGGCTTTATATCCTGATATGGTAAACAGAAAGACGATTGGACAAGGTTTCCCACAGACCCTGCAAGCCTGTCGGCCTTCTCGTTGCCCTCTATGCCAACGTGACTAGGTACCCAACAAAATGTTATGCTTTGACCATCATGTAGAGCAGCGTTGAGTTTACTCTGAATTTGTTGTACAAGCATGTTTTTAGTGTCTTTAACAGAGCAAACTGCAACAATCACACTTTGAGAATCAACAAAAAGAACAGCCCTAGTTATTTTCTTATGTAGAATGTAGTCTATTGCCATTGATACTGCATAGAGTTCTGCAGTAAAAATGCTAGCAAATGAATTAAGTCGCTTAACTTTAGAGAAGCGTTCTGAATACACAGCGCAGCCAACGAAGGATGAAGTCTTGGCGCCATCTGTGTAAACGTGAAGATAACCATCATACTTGATTTGTACTTCACAAAACTCTTGCAGTATTACAGCATGGGAAATGCCATGTTTGTTAAATTTTGTGAGCGACCAGTCACAGGCAACTGGCAGTGTCTTCCAGGGTGGAATACGGTCGTCGACATTTCGAATGAGGTCGACCTGGTCCAATGAAAGATGCAGTGAAGTGCAAAGTTCTTCAATGCGGGAGCTTAATGGTGTCACAATGCTTGGCTTGTTGTTAAAGAGACGGGAAAATCTCGACCTTGTAAGGGAAGAATAAGTAGGGTGTTGAGGGTCAGCCAGAATCTTAAAAGCATACGTTAGGCTAAGATAAGTTTGTCGTTTGTTCAGTGATAGCTCATTAGCTTCTGCATATAAACTGGAGACAGGGGATGTTTGGAAAGCACCAGTTGCTAGTCTCAACCCCAGGTGGTGAACTGGGTCCAACATTCTGAGGGCAGATGGCCGGGCCGATCCATACACTGCCGCACCATAGTCAAGACGAGATCTTACAAGAGCATTGTACAACCGTAGAATACATTTTCTGTCAGAACCCCATGACTTATGAGATAGAACTTTCAAAAGATTCATAGACTGAAGACATTTAGTTTTTAAAGCTTTCAGGTGTGAAATAAAATTAAGCTTTTTATCAAATATCACACCAAGAAATCTGTGCTCTTTCCTGACAGGTACAGGGTTTCCATTTAGTTCCAGTGATGGGTCCAATGACAGCCCACGACGCAAAGAAAAGGGCACACAGACTGTTTTGGATGCAGAGAACCGAAACCCGTTCTCATCAGCCCACTTGGAAAGTTTGTTTATGGCTATCTGCAACTGGCGCTCACAGCTGGAAAGGTTACAAAAGGAAGACGAGATCTGTATATCATCAGCGTAAAGAGAATATGAAACAGAAGGAGGTAGCAGTCGTGCAATTGAATTCATTTTTAGCACAAATAAAGTTACGCTCAAGACTCCTCCTTGAGGGACTCCATTTTCTTGCACGTAGGAATCAGATAGGTTGGAGCCAAGACGAACTTGAAAAGTCCTGTTTGTTAGATATTCCCTTATGCATTGCAGCATACGGCCCGGGATATTACATGCATACAGATCTTGAAGAATCCCATGTCTCCACGCTGTATCATATGCCTTCTCCAAATCGAAAAAAACTGCGACACAGTGCTGCCGGTTTACAAATGCCTCACGTATAACAGTTTCCAAGCGTACCAAGTGATCAAGAGTAGAACGACCTCGGCGGAATCCACACTGGTTGTTATCAAAGGCCCTCTGCTGTTCTAATACATAAACCAGTCGCCTGTTTATCAGCCTTTCAAATGTTTTTCCGAGGCAGCTCGTTAGTGCGATTGGGCGGTAACTTGATGGCTGTGAAGGATCTTTATTAGGTTTTAGAAGGGGAATAATATATGCGCATGCCTCCAAGCCTGAGGAAAACAAGCCTTTTCCCATAAGGAATTAAAAAAAAGAAGGTTTTCAAGGGATTCCGTGGACAGGTTACGAAGCATTTCATAGTGAAGCCCATCAGGCCCAGGAGCAGATAGCTTTTTTACATTAAGGGCCATCTCAAGTTCATATCGCGTAAATGGCCGATTATAAGAGGCTGCCTTTCCTCCAGTTACGACTAGCTTTTGTTGCTCCGCACGGGCTTTAAACTGTGTGAAGTTAGCACTGTAGTTGGCTGAGCTGGATGAATTATAAAAATGTTCTCCGAGGACGTTAGCAATGTCTTTTAATGACGAACAAGGAGCAATAAACGTTGGGATGGCAAAGCACCTATAATCCCCATTTACTTTCCTATATCTGCCCCAGGCCTCTTTGGCAGGGACAAAACTAGTTAGAGAAGACAGGTACTTCATCCAAGACTTCCGTTTTGCCCGCTTCCTAGTCCAACGAGCCTTGGCTTTTCGGCGTTTAAACTCCACAAGGTTGTGCGAAGTGGGATATCTACGAAATCTTTCCCAGGCCTTGTCTTGATCTGCCAGGGTTGTGGCACACTCCTTGTTCCACCAAGGTTTACATTTTTTTGGCACATTACCAGAAGTTTGTGGAATAGAGCGCTGAGCAGCCCTTAGTATCTGCTCAGTAACATGAAGTGTAGCGTTCTCGGGTGACAAAGAAGAAAGGATCGAAGGATCTAAAGTGGAGTGAAGATTAAAAAGTGTCCAGTCAGCCTTGTCTAATTTCCACCTAGGGGGACGCTTTAAAAGATTAGGCAATGGAACAGTACTTTCTAAAACAATAGGATAGTGATCACTTCCAAAAGGGTTATGGAGAACCTTCCATGAAAAGCAAGGAAGTAATGAAGGTGAAGCGATAGAAAGATCAATAGATGTGAATGAGTTGTGTGCTGCACTAAAAAAAGTTGGTTCTTTCCCGTTAAGAAGACACAGCCCAGAAGACAATAAAAGACGTTCAATAACACCACCCCGGGAGTCTTGACGGGCACTGCCCCACATGGGATGATGAGCGTTAAAATCACCCAAAACTAAAAACGGTTGAGGAAGCTGTCCTACAAGTCCCTGTAGCTCTTGAAGATTGAAAGGAATATTTGGTGGTAAGTATAAAGAAACAAGCGTTACAAGGTGGTCCACAAGGAGACGCACTGCAACAGCCTCCAGAGGTGTGCGGAGTGGAACTTGACAGCAAGCGACTCCACTCTGCACAACCACCGCAACGCCACCAGAAGGACTGGAAGCAGGACGGTCTTTCCTAAAAACCTGATGATGTCTTAAAATGTTAAAAGAATTAGAGTGAAGATGAGTTTCTTGCAAGGCAAGAGCCATAAAATGATTGATATCATCAATATTTCTTAAAATACCGCGACAGTTCCATTGCATAAAATGTAACTTTGTCATCTATTGAAAAGTGCGTGAATGTGTAAATATAAGGAGATAAAACCTAGCAAAATGAATAAAACTATGGAGAGCCAACTCGAGCTGAGTGGAAGATGTGATCACGATACAACAGCTACCGGGGCTATCACTTGGGCGCTACTACAGGTTGCTTCTTTTTAGATTTACGAGAAGCTGTCTCCCATTCCATACCATCCTGGTCGGACCCAGGAGTAGACTGGCTGTCAGCATCAGTTGGTATCTCCATGTCCTGGGAAGTGTCCGATGGATGGAGCATGACAGAGCTGGTCCGGCCTGGCACGCGCGGGGGAAAACCCCGGCCACGACCGGATGGAGGAGTGGCGGACGAGCTGGGCCAGGAGTCACCCAAGCTTGTTTTCCCACCTCCTTTCACAGGAGCTGCATGGGTACCATGCTGCTCCTTCGGTAGGGGGACCCTCTCCAGCGAGCAGGAGCGAGAAGCTCGCTCCTTCCTAGAAGGGGACCTAGGAGAGGGGACAGGCGCGGCAGCTGCCGGCCTGTCCTCGGATGGAGGGGCAGCACGCGTGCTACCACCAGGGACTGGGGGAAGCTGCTGCTGCCCCTGTCGGGGAGCTGGGGCCCTGAGGTCGGCCGCCAAGATCTCGGGAGAGACCTGGCAGACCCTTGACTCCGAGCGCGGTGCAGGGCCCCTGCGCACCGCCTCAGCATAACTACCCTTTGACAAAAAGGAAAAACGTAAGTAAGAGTAAGATTAAGGTTTTAATGGCGCAGCAGCAACTGAGGCCATAATGCGCCAAACAAAATGTTTATTAAAACTCAGCAAGACACATGCTAGACTAGAGAAGATTTTTATAACTTGTGTAGATAACCAGTTTTGTTAAGAAAATTAAAAACTCGTCTAAGTGGCACTAAAGCACTGTCACCAAGTAAAAACATAGGATGAAAGGGTAGATAGTCTCTAAAAAGTTCAGGAAAACATGATACGCGCAGTTGATGATAAAACCTACACTCCCATAGAATGT